CACCTCGTTTATTATATATATATATACACACATATATATGTGTGTATATATATATACATACATACATAGTATATAAACAGTTATACAACATTCTTTACCTATATAAACACAAGTTTAGACTTTATGACTGTGTGAAAGTTTGTTAAAACGTACTCATCATTTACTCAAAATAGATCTTCGTTATTACATGAAAACAGTAAGAAGCTCGTATAACAAGGGTAGCAAGCATTCAAAATTAATATGTGAAATAAATGGTTTTGCCTGGCTAAACAAGCCTCAATCTTTAATGCCCTTAGTAGAAAACTCCATGAAACAAAATGGAATCCTGGGAGCCACGTCGTATGAATGACTCATTGGATAATACTTGTAGAACAACCCAGAATCACTTAAGTGTAAGGGTTAAAGAAGGTCATATGTACCCAGCACAGGGTAAAGGAGCAGGACGGATTTGATCATTTTACACTACATAAAGGTGCTTGCAGGCAACAGCCTTGCCATCAGTACATATAGGCAGATAGATGTTCCTATAGCCTTCCATTCCCAGATTTTACTGACAAGTCTTTCTTCACAGGTTCTCTACCAATCATGTTTTCCCAGCAACACAAGTTTGACATTACTGCTCCCAGATGGCAGAACCAGCGCTCTCCTCACCTGGGTCAGATACAGGCCATGAGATTCGGTCTAACCAGCAGGTCTGGCCTTCCTGGATCCTGGAGGACCAAACAACACTGGTACTAAAGGTGCTGTGCCTGGAAGGCAGGAGGCAGGTCCAGGGGGAGGAAAAGAGGCCACCGCCTTTCTGGAGTGAAAGCATGAGGTGTTTTTTTGTAAAGGTCGGAAGACATGGCTATGCTGACCTGCACTGCCTGAAGCATGCAGAACCTCTGCATGCTGAGCGAACCAAATGCAAAGCCTTTCTCCTCCTGCACATGAACAATGGATTCACCTAGCATCCCCTCCATGACCGCTTTTTCCCTGCCGACACTCGCTGGGGAGCAGGCTGATATTACCACCATTTCCCAGAGGACCCCAGCCCATGGGCCACAACTCGCCCACCGTGGAGCGGGACCAAGTGGAATTGGGCCAGCTGACAGGGTGCTCCATCCTGCGTTACCTCTCCAGGGCACATCGACTCTCCTTTTTTCCACCTTTATTAATGCTCAGGGTGCACAGGTAAGGCTTCCCCGTACTTGGCTGGGATTCTGTGTAGAATCGCCTGGAATGTGAGCAACATCAGGGCAGGTGTCTGTGTGCTCACCTGGCCTCCATTAAACCCTCCCTTGTGGCCAGTCCTCACGTGCACTGTGCTGCACCCATCCTGGTGTGACGAGTGGCTGATTCCATCAAAGAACAGTGAACAGCAGCCCTGGTTGAAGGTATGGCGTGCAACCCCCATGTGCCAAGGGGACAGCTGCTGTCTTCCAGCAACCGGCCAGGTCCCAGCTCCACTTTTCGCCTGTCCCCTGCTTCCTGCACCCCAAACAGCCAGCCTTGCTGTGCGCCTGGGGTGCACAGGGGAGAGAGCTGGGCCTGTGTCATCTGCTCCCTCTCTGAAGCTCCTGGACCCTCCCTATCGATTACAGTGAAAGGTGGCTTCCCCCTCCCTCCAGAACCTCTACTTTCAGCCTCTGCTCTAGGACTGGAATGTAGGCGGCAGAGGTGGAAAGAGGCAGGGGAGACCTGAATGGGGGCTCCTAGGGAAAAAACAGGGAACTCAAGGTGGCGGTGGTAGGAAGGATGCTAAATGTTCTCATTTCCTTCCAATATCCTTTTTCTTACCCTTTGAAGAACTTTAAAACTGACTCACAGATAAAAGGAGTGCCAGCTGCAGAAGCAAAACTGGGAGCCTGTGGTCATCCTCCCACTGCGGGCAGTGAGGCCTCTAGTACCAAGAGGAAATCCCACCCAAATATACCTCCAAGTGTCTCTGCCCAGGACAGGAAACCCGAGCACGGCCCTGTCACAGTCAAGCCGGCCTGGGGAAAGAAAAGCACAGCCTACGCGTTTCCCTCACTAGCACACCTGCGGGTGGGGAAGCCTTGGGCTCGGCCCCTGGAGAGCACGGAGCCACACCCCCGCCCAGAGACAGCAGACAGGACATTGCACACAGTGATGCTCAAGATCTTGCCACATCTGACACCAGAAGGCACTTTTAAGGGTTTTCCAACATTAGTGGCCCCGTGAGATCAGTTAACGACTGAGCAGACAAAGGTGCTACAGCAGCTAAAACAAAGGCCTGTGGCGGAGTGAGGGCAAGGATGAGGCACCAAGGATGACACAGGGCTAAAAAACTCTACGCCTGACCCAAGTCAACCTCGAGCCTGCAATTTCCCTTGGATAAAATCTCCAGAACGCCTTTCCTATCATCAGCCTCTTCCTCCAGTTAGACTGAGGCTGCTCTTAGCTGGATTTCAGTTACATAATGTTTATGTGGTCATTACTCTGTACTGTTTGCCGACTGCGTCTTTTCCCTTTGGTTTGTAAAAGTAAATCTCAAACCCCATGTAGGTGTTCACAGATTCAGACGACATTGGACCAGCTTGTGAATCACCTCTCCATTAGGCCAGGAGGGTCTCCTCTGCAAGGACTGTCCTTCACTACTTGCTGAATGTGGATCACAGACCCCCAGGGCATCTGGGTACCAGGCTACATGGCAACACCAATAGCACATGAGCTCAAGATGAAAACAATATATTGGTAAGCTGTTCTAATCAACTTTTAAAGCTTTGTGTGTGCTGCTAATATGAAAAGATTGTCTCTCCTCCTTAGCTTCCCAATCTATTTCACCATCTCTTCAAAGTTGTGTCCCAGAAAGCTTGAAAATTTATCTGCTAGGGATGCAGAAAATTAAAGTGTTAGTCTCTTAGTTGTGTCTGATTCTTTGCAACCCCATGGACTGTAGCCCTCTAGGCTCCTCTATCATGGGATTCTCCAGGCAAGAATACTGCAGTGAATTGCCATTCCCTTCTCCAGGGGATCTTCCCAAACCAGGAATCTAACCCACATCTCCTGCATTGCAGGCAGATTCTCTTACCATCTGAGCCACCAGGGAAGCCCCCGCAGAAAATTATGCAGATTGAGAAATCACTGGGGAGATGACTCTGAGGTTTAACATCTGAGGATGTTGCCAATGTAACTTTCACGTCCAAATACTTTGATTAAAAATAGGAAATTCTATTATAAGAAAATTAAGTTACCATGGCAACATTTTCCCACCACAGTTCCTAGTCACATGAACTTTTCTTTTAAGTGACACTAAGGTAGCTTAGTAACAATACACCACCAGTAATGAAATGACCAAGGTCAACTGAATTCCCTAAAATGACATCCTTGCTTTCCTGCTCGCTAGCTCCTGTGATAGTTTTCAACTCTTAAAAACTACCAAAATAGGAATCTGCAATTTATCAATATCACACAATTCAACCCAGAGTATTCTATGCAATATGGTGGAGCTATTCATATTCCAGACTTCTACAGAGAACAATCCAAAGGCCAAACTTCCCAAATGTCCTCCTGAGCAGTACTGGACAACCCAGGCTGAAGTTTCTAGAGGCCTCAGGGATCATATTCAGATCTAAATTTTGGAAAACTATGATCAGTCAAAATGTTGACAATGAGAGAAAGAAAAGTAACTTTTCAGAGCACCAGCGTGTGTGCTGAGTTGCTTCAGTCGTGTCCGACTCTTTGCAACCCCATGGACTATAGCCCACCAGGCTCCTCTGTCCATGGGGATTCTCCAGGCAAGAATACTAGAGTGGGTTGCCATTTCCTTCTCCAGGGGATCTTCCCGACCCAGGGACTGAGCACAGGGTTAATTATAAAGCTTTATAAGCTATAAAGCTCTAAAAAAGTAAACATACACATGACCTTTGTTCATACAAAAATGAGGGAGTTGGTGATAGACAGGGAAGCCTGGCGTGCTGCAGTCCATGGGGTCACAAAGAGTAGGACACGACTGAGCAACTGAACTGAACTGAATCTAATTAAGATGATTAGGAAAGGTGTAGCAGAGTAATTAATTTGTGAGGTCTTCTGAGAACAAGTACTCAGGGTCAAGTATTAAATGACATGATTAAAATGCCTGGCACCTGGCTGCCACATACAAAGTTGATGACAGCACCCTCTCCCACCTGTAACTTCAAAGTGCCACTGTGTGAATGTGTGACCCACCTACTCTAGTTTGTGGCCAACTGCAAGGAGTCCTGATAATCTCACTTCTGCTCATGCTTATAAGCTTATGATCCAGTAGCACTGGTTACTCAATTTTAAAAATATTCAGATATAACCTGCAAATAAATACAAAATATTTCTGTATCCCTACAGTCCTACTACCATGAAAGGTTATATATAAATTAAATAAATTCAGTTTTCTCAACCATTATCTCAGCTTCAGTTTGTTCTTACCCTAAGTGAAGTTCAATTTATATCCAAAATATATTTAAATATTCTAAAGGTATCATATCAGACCTAAGTTATCAAAAATGTAAACAAAACGTATCTATGTTATACCTATAAACCACTTTTTTTAAGTTAATTCACCCTGTGCTGACCCTCTTAAAAAAAAAAACTCACCAAAGTCACATTTAGACTGAAAAGCTGATACAGATGTTTAAGTGGTTCCTTGGAGACAACTGCCAATTACTTATAACTACTGATACTGAATCTAGTGGTTTATTGCATCACTCAACGTAAAAGACCAAAATCATTCCATGTTGGTCTTCCAGTAATGTGCTTTCTGACGGGGCACCCAGATTCTGCTGTCCAAAGTGCTGAAGTGGAGATTCGGCAGTAACTCTCACACAAAACTGAGACCAGATGTCCAGCAACTTCATGCTTCCCACTGCACCGGTGAAAAAAAATCTTGGTTCTCAGGATCAGTCTGCTTTGGTTGAAAGGAACTTCGAGGATGGAAACTTGAGGTGAAGTCAAGAAGTAAAAGGGGAAACGCCAATGACCCTCAGAGGAAAATCAAAGGATCCATCCATCCCATGGCCTCATCCTCACACTCCGCAGTCAGACTGCTTGTCCTGAAGCTGCCTTGTCAGTATCTGATGCGAAGACAGGAAAGCCACTCCTATGTGGAAGAGGATTTGCCAGAGGTTCCTCAGCCCATGCAGGTACACGTTGCCCAGGCAAATGAAGAGCAGCATCAGCACCACCTTCGTAGTCCTGGCTGGACTGTAGAACAGGTACAGGTAACACTGAAAGGATACCAGAAGAGGGAGGCCCATCAGCGATAAGAAGATGGCCAAGGCCAGGGGCCAGGTCCACTTACAAGACCTGCCCTGCAGAGTCGTTTCATAAGCGTTGGCTCATTAAACTGAAAGTTGTTACAGTGGAGCTTGGACTCACTGGATCAGTTATTGTCAATCAGTGGATGAAAGTGGGGATTTGGAAGAGATAAGAAAAGTTAAACAGAAAGTCACAGGAGGAATGAGAACACAGCCCTCTTGAAAGAAGTTAAGAAATACAGACAGACATGTCCAGGCTGTGCTACAGAGAAAGAAGAGATGTGGGTCAGGGACAGACAGCCAGGTGGGGATACACTAACAAGAGCAACTGGCCTCCAAAGGAACTTCTCCTTTGGGGGAGTCATAACAGGTGACAAAGTTGGTGAGAGAAGCTGTGCTTTTACTATTTTAGTTTTTCCTGAGTTACAACTATATCGGGTACCACTGTTACCTAGACAGCCTCCCTATTACATCTTCAGAAGCATCTCTGACTCAGGGAAAGGTCTCCCAGAATGATGCTTCCTGTAGGGCTATCACACAGAAAGAGGACATTCTTGTTCTGCAAAAGGTGGAAATCATTTTTTGTTTGAATGTTTAAAAAAAAAAAACAAAATGGCACATTCTGAAAACACAGGGCAATCTGACAAAAGCTCACAGTGAAGTGGGAGGGAGAGTTCCCCATGGAAAGAGCTGATCAAGTAAGACCACAGATGAGGGGATGAAGGTGGAACTGTAAGATCCCTGCAGCCCTGAAATGCAAGGTCCAGGAAACTACTCTCAGCAACACCCATGATCTTGGAGACTTGATTTTCCAAAGAATGAGTGTATTTTCAGTATTAGGTTGAAATTTTCTTTTTGCACAATCAGATAATTGTTAAAAATAGGCCATCTAGGATGTACGCAGAAGAGAGAAGAAGTGCCCTGAGAAAAGAACTTTTAATTAAAAGAAGAAGAGGCTTAAATATACAGAAAAGGTACTAAAATCCTAGACTTTGTAGAAGGTGGGGAAAGAGAGCCAGGTTTTTTGTTAGAATTAACTCTGCTTAAAAGGGATTCAAGTCTTGACTGGTGACTCAGATGGTAAAGAATCTGCCTGCAATGCAGGAGACCCGGGTTCAATCCCTGGGTCGAGAAGATCCCCTGTAGAAGGGACTGGCTACCCACTCCAGTACCCTTGCCTGGAGAATTCCATTGACAGAGGAGCCTGGTGGGCTACAATCCATGGGGTGACAAAGAGTCAGACACGACTGAGCAACTAACACTTTCACTACTACCTTTTCATAGGGGATTAAAAAGCTCCTTCCTACTCTAGTCCTTAAGTACACGGCTTATCTGAAAATAACTAATAATCAAAGTGCTCTAGTTAGTATTATAACTTTTGTTTCATTTCCTAAGGACAGATTTGATTCAGATGGTATTTCTATTAGAAACAACAAATTTTTTCCCAGTCCTGTGTCTGAAAAAAAAAAAAAAAACACATACATAGGCATCAGTTCTGCAGAAGGACATTTCTGTACTTGGATGCCCAGCAATGAGCACAAGGCAAGGCTCTGCCTCACACTGGTCAGGCCCAACCCAATCCCCACTGCAATCTCACCCCTCACTTCTTGGGAGCCCAGCCCCAGTTTCTAGTTTCTAGTTCCTGCACTGTCAAAAGGCCCTGAGACGTAGGGCAAATGACTTTCCCTTTCTGGGCCCCAAAGTCTTTTCTCTGTAAAATGAGAGGACTGGACAGGATGGGTGGAAAGTTGTCCTGCTAAGGGCTGGTACTGTCCATGATTTGAACCAATGTCTTGGTAGAACAAAAGCAGGATCTGGAAACTCACTGATGGTTCCAACAGAGCAAAATAAGGTAATGGGTTTAACCCACTCACTAAAACATCAACATTTCACCCACCTGGAAAATGCAGGCTACAAAAGGAATAAGAAAAGCCAGAATATTTCCAATTTCTTCATGTGCAACCTAAGACAAATATGAGGAACACAAGAAAAGGAATATTTAGAGGGAATGAAACACTATGACATGAAGTGCATTACTCTGCATTGGGTCTGGTATAACTGACAGTACAAAATCCCTGCCTGGGTGAGAAACAAGCCCCTGTTCACGTATCAGACCAGGTGGTGACGTAAAATCTGTCTGAATGGCCTGGATACACCAAGCACGTCCCATTCCCATGCATGTGTGCTGAGCCCGCAACCTGCAGTGTCCCCACCCCCAGCCCGGCCACCTCTCAAAATCCAACTCACCTGTCAGTACTAACTGTCCCCAATTCCTCCCACCCCAGGTACTGCCACCTCCTGAGTGATGTCACCATACTCTGCTATGTGCCCTGAGGCAGGGGCTATGTCTTGAGCAACGAACACCTGTTCTAGTGCATATAGACATTTGCTAAGTATCTGCTTATGAGTCATCATAAACAATAAGAGTGGGAACCATACCACTTGTTGGCCAAAAGTGGGGTGTGGAAACAGCCAGCCACCACTCAGGACCCAGGCCTGCTGCCATTCCCCAAACACCTTGGTCTCTGTAAGCACCCTGAGATTGAACCTCCCTGCACTTCAGATTTTAGCTACCACATGCTTGGGTGTGAGCATCATGACTCTGGCTTTGTTTTTAACTGAAGGATAGTTGATTTACAGTATTGTGTTAATTTCTGCTATACTGCAAAGTGACTCAGTTATACACACACATACATTCTTTTTTATATTCATTTCCATTATGGCTTATCTCAGGAGATTGGATACAGTTCCCTGTGCTCTACGGTAGGATCTTGTTTATCCATTGTAAATGTAATAGTTTGCATCTACTTGGAGAAGGCAATGGCACCCCACTCCAGTACTCTTGCCTGGAAAATCCCATGGACGGAGGAGCCTGGTAGGCTACAGTCCACGGGGTCGCTAGGAGTCAGACACGACTGAGCGACTTCACTTTCACTTTTCACTTTCATGCATTGGAGAAGGAAATGGCAACCCACTCCAGTATTCTTGCCTGGAGAATCCCAGGGACAGGGGAGCCTTGTGGGCTGCCGTCTATGGGGTCACACAGAGTCGGACACTACTGAAGCGACTTAGCAGCAGCAGCATCTACTTATCCCAAACTGTTTTTAAAGTTAACATCTATCTGTTCATGTTCATAATGGTTCCATGCTTGTTTTTAAGTGCTTGAAATACTTCAAAATTTAAAAATAATAAGTAAAAAGCATTAGAAGAGAAAGCTGCTTTGAGATGAGCAGGCTGGCAAATCAACTTCATAGTGATACAGTTCTTTTGACAAAGACACGGGGAGGCTGGTATCTATCTGAATGATATAAATCAGATTATGAGACAACTCTACCAAGGGAAAAAGGGCCTGAATCTTAAAGTCTGAGAGTCAAACTTTGCCTTGGATCAACAATCCAGCCCCTGCAGTGACTCTCGGTGTCCCCAGGGCCACGGGGTGGCCTGATGTCCTTGTAGCAAGTTGTCCATTTCTCACCAGTATTCCAGCAGCCCCTCTGACTTCTCAGAAAAACAAATACAAAAGAGCAAGTTTCTTATTTGCTTAACTCACTACGAAGAATAAAACAAGAAGTAAGAATTTTACTTTAATTTTTAAAACGTAGGGAGTAATAACCTTATAAACAATATGCACCCATATCTGTTTCTTCCATCATGTGTCTTTCCATTTAAACTGGATAGAAAAGGTTACCTGTAAAGAATGTTCTGCGAGGTGAATTCCACGAATGAGGTTCAGGGCAGCGCACATGATGTTAAGAATAAGGGAGAGGACGCCCAGGGCTGTCACTGGTTCCATTCGGAAATTAGGGGCTTCACAAGGAAAAAAAGGAAGCGTTAAGTGAAAATAATATCTATATGAAAAAAAAAAAAAGTAAAAACATTAACTAGACCTCTGCTAATGAAAAAGTTACACTGAACACACAATTGCAAACACATTAATTTAAAAAGCAGCTGTAGTTAGAGTGGGAAAAGGCAAGGGGTGAAGGACAGAAAGGATCTTTTGGAATCCAAGGTGAATGTCTTCGAGATAAGAGGCCCTTCTCTAAGCAAGCATAGATTTTCTTAAGTGCTTCATTTCCTTTCTATTTACACTAGTGGTTCTCAGCCAGAGATGATAAAGCTCTTCAATCAATGTCTAGGGACATTTTGGGTTGTCCTCCCTGGGAACAGATTGCTACAATGCACAGGACAGTCTCCATAACAGAGAATTTCCAGTACAAAATGTCAGTAGGGCTTAGGTTGAGAAATCCCGATTTAAAACAATTTATGGCTTTAGTTGTAAATTGGTTGTCAAACCCTATAACTTTTCTATTACACACCTCAACCATCAGCATGTAAAATGTTCCATTCTTTTTCTGATAGGGACAATATTCAATGTCACGTGTGCTTCTAGAACAAATCATAGCAAATGCGATTTTTCAAATTCCAAAGTTATTGGGAAGAGGAGGGAAACATGTATTATTTCAGCTACAAGCTATTTCCAGAACTCTAATGAAGACAAAATGATCATCCCCTCTTTAAAGATAACTGCTGAAACTGATTCTGGTTCACACAATTAAGCGGGGTCCACCCATTCTCTTCCTGTGTTCCTTTTATTAATTTATGTTATATTTTCATTGTGCCACGTGGCATGTGGGATCCTATTCCCTGACTAGGGGTGAGCCCCCCGTCCCCAGCATTGGAACTGTGGAGCCTTAGCCACTGGACCACCAGGGAAGTCCTTGGTGTACTCCTTTTAAATCATCCTTTTTTGTCCTCACATTTCCCGCATATGCGTACACACACATACACACACCACAGCCCAACTGATGCCTACTGTTAGTGTGTTAGTTTACACTATCAAAGTTCCTCTCAGAACAGAGCTACCTGTTAAGACTCTAGACTTGGGACAATAGGGGGGAGTCTTAGAAAGATAGGCAAGTTGTCACCTTCTGCATTTGTTCCTCTTGTCTACGTGGTTAAAAAACAGAACATACATCACAAAGTGACCCGTCGTCAGGTACAGCAAAGGAGAAGCTTGGGGTCTGATGCCCTAGTCTTCCTCCCATGAATGTTAAGTCCAATCCCAATGTAAATTACAACAACTTATTGAATGGCATAAGAGTCAATCCAGGAATTCACTGGTTGAAATGTTCAAATTGAAAACCAAAGTTAAGCGAAAAAAAAATGTGAACATTTTAAATATACCACTTTCAAAATGCAAGCAATGAGTTTAGCATAAAACTGTTAACAAAGTAATTAGACTGTTATAGTATAGATGGTTCTGTCTTCTGGAGAAGGATTATACTATTACAGAGTTCTTAGAATGCAAATATTCACTTCAACTAAAAGTTGGTTTAATTGGATATAACTGTAAACAAATAACACAAAAAAGCATGCTTTGCTATGTGCTAGGTATTGAACACTTCATGTTGTTAGTGGCAGACTAAGTCACAGATGCCAGGGCACTGTGAATATGTTCATCAACACTTCATTCCTCAGACAGGGACTCAGAAATCCAAAGGGATAGAGAGATGTCTCTGGGTCCCACAGAGAACCCGAGAGTGAGAGGTCTGGAAGCCCTGGCCCTGACCCCTGCCCACTCTCATCCCCACAGCCCTCCACTCCTTCCATCAAGAAGTGGGGGTTTCTTGCTGGAGATTTGCATTGTTTCACCATTGCAGTGATGAGATAAGGACTCACTGTTAGAGGAAAAAAGGCGAGAGAGAGAATGTACAAATCTGTACTATTCAACAAGGGTGACTTCCAGCCAAAGAGAATGAAAATCTCCTTCAGTTCAGTTCAGTTGCACAGTCTGTCTGACTCTTTGTGGCCCCATGGACTAACAGCACACCAGGTTTCTTTGTCCATCACCAACTCCTGGAGTTTGCTCATGTCCACCAACTCATGTCCATTGAGTCAGTGATGCCATCCAACCATCTCATCCTCTGTCGTCCCCTTCTCCTCCTGCCTTCAATCCTTCCCAGCATCAGGGTTTTTTCCAATGAGTCAGCTCTTCACATCAGGTGGCCAAAGTATTGGAGCTTCAGCTTCAGCATCAGTCCTTCTGATGAATATTCAGGACTGATTTCCTTTAGGATGGACTGGCTTGATCTCCTTGCTGTCCAATGGACTCTCAAGAGTCTTCTCTAACACCACAGTTCAAAAGCATCAATTCTTTGGAACTCAGCTTTATGGTCCTCTCATATCATAAGTATGATCTCTCACATCCATACATGACCACTGGAAAAACCATAGCTTTGTATGGATGTGAGAGATCATACTTTGTCAGTAAAGTAATGTCTCTGATTTTTAATATGCTGGTCTAGGTTTGTCATAGCTTTGTTTTTTTGTTTTTTTTTTTAAATAAAAGCCACCTGGAAACAAGATCAGCCCATGTTTCTTCCCCCACACATTTTATATACCACTCCCCACCTAAACACCTTCCTAGTTGAACAATCAATGTCCATTTGAAATATACACTCTCACCTCATTTTCATCAATACCAGAGAGCAGCAGGCCACCTACCTGGCTCCAGGTGCATCAGTGTGTGTCCGTTCATCACCCCATTGGCCACATCTGTGTCTTCCAGGGTGAGAACCACTGGTGGCTGGAACTTGAGTTCCTCCTGAATTTTTCCTAAGCTGCTGTCCATCTGGGTGGAACTTACATAGTTAAAATGCCACTTCACTTTCTGAATGACATTGTCTGTGAAAAGAGAGCAGTCCAAACTGAATGTCATCACAATGGATGTTATAAGACAACAGGTACACAATGAAATTTGCATTTCTAAGCAAGTTATAAGTCAGCCAGACTCTGAAGAGTGTCAGCTACACATGAGGGTCAAATGATTTGTAGATATCAGGACTGGTCTCATCAATCTCTGAAAGGAGAATAATTAAAATGTGACAGTCTGTCCATCAGGACCTCAGTGGCAAGTGAATCAGGGGGAGAGGCTTGAGTCTTAGCTCAGGCACAACTCATAGTACAAACCTGGGCCACTCACAAAGGATTTCTAAGATTGCAAAATGGGGACAGTCATTCTTGACCTGATTATCTCAAGAAAGGCGTGTGAAAAAAAACTACAAATGAATGTGAATATGTTGTGCAAACGAGGATTATATGAAAGGTGTTGGTTTTAATTATTTTATTTACATTCAGTATTAATCCATTACCAACTTTTAATAAGTACTTGAGGTGAAGTTTCAAATATATTGACAAAACAAAATCATGTATAATTCTAATATCCGTGTGTGGCGTGTGTGTGCATGCGCTCAGTTGTATCTGTTTGTGACCCCATGGACTATATAGCCTGCCAGGCTCCTCTGTCCATGGAATTTTCCAGGCAAGAATGCTGGAGGGTATTGCCTCCAGGGGATCTTCTCGACTCAGGGATTGAACCTAGGTCTCTCGCATCTCCTGCATTGGCAGGTGGATTCTTTACCACTGTGCCACCCGGGAAGCTCCTAATACCCATGTGCTTTTACTTTCATCCTACTCTCACTCAATAATGAGCAAACGTGATGCCAGGAAGGGGCTCCTGTGAGGCAAAGCCCACCACTTTGGAAGGACGATGCATGCAGAGATGAGGCGGGAGAAGAGAACACAGGTCTACCAGCTGCCAGTCAAAGGACAGCCAAGGGATGCTGCAGCTGTGGTCTACCTGGGGACACAGAAGTGGGGATGAGAGTGGCCATCCTCACAGGGAGACTCAAGAGGAACTTGCAATCTGTGTCACAGGCCTACCAGGTGGAGGCTGGAGTACCAGGGAGTTTCCCGGCATCCCTGGGTGACACCAGAAGACAGTGCTGGCCCTATTACTGATGGGCTGGCCACAGACCACACGACGGGGTGTGAGCAGGAGCTGCCAGAAAGCCTAAGTGGCCATACTTCCAGGTGCCAGCCCTGCACCTGACCCTGAGGACCAAATGCTGTCAGCCCCTCGTTCAAGAGCATCACGGGACCACGGCAGGTTACACTGAGACTGGAGAACTCCCCAACTCCCACCTCCACTCCTCTTCTCCCCCTCAACGATGACCTGAATCACACCTGACAGAAACAGGGCATATGCTATCACAACTGCTGTGTTCCAGACCCATGGGCCTCCACAGGGCCTCTCTGGCAGAGCCTAGAAAAGCAGTCTTCTCTTCCAGAGCTGTGCTTCTCAAACCTCTGCATGAAGGACCAGTGTTTCCTTATTTCCAAATGGTTGCATACAGATATTTGGATAAAATACAATTGAAAATATCACAGGAATGTCCAAGTACCGTAAGAATTTCTAACCTTTTATTGTCACTCCCTGTATGTGCCTCACGCTGGAAGCACAGGTCCACGAACCACCCTTAAGCAGCGCTGCCCTACAGCCGGGGTTGGCACAGACAATGTTTTAAGCTTACAGGCCCCAGATGGTCCATCACAATGGCTCACCTCTGCCAGGGAAGGGCAAAAGCAGCCACAGACAACCTGTTAGTAATAGAGCAAGCGTGGCTGTGTTCCACTTTATTTACAAAAACAGACTCTCGGCCCGCAGTTTGCTGACCCCCTGCTCCAGAATAAGATACAGGGTTCACCCTCTTCCACCCCGCTCCAGGCTCCGGAGAGGTAAAAAGCCAGAGGGTTGAGCCTCCAAGTTTGCAGGCTCCTTTCATTGCCGTGAAATTTCATGGCATGAGGCTATTCTTCAGGGACACGGTCCCGAACCTCCAGTGGTTTTCCCAGATGGTCAGAGCCAGACTCAAACTGGAAATTCTACACATACGATGCTGTAAGAGAGAACAACAACTAAAAAAGTAGGTTACAAACCAAATTCGAGAAAGGCATATGGCCTGGAGGCGAGGCCGACGCAGGTGGTGTCATAGGAAGCTGTGAATTCCCACCACAGGGTCTCCAGGAAGCAGAAGGCCATGGCTGCCGGACACTGGAGGGAGCAGATAGCCATGCAGGCCACGTCCCTTGCAGAAGAGAAGCTGGAACGAAAGGGACTACGTCACCAGGGAACAGACCCGCCTGTTCACATCCTGCACCCGGCCACCACCTTGCCTCCACTCTGGATTTGCTGGGCCTTGAACAGTCCTGGAGCTGTCCGTTGCGTACACATCATCTCTTCAGGTGGACCTGTCTGGGACTGCGCCTTTCTTATACTTCCTCGAAAATGTATAGCAGCATTTGCTGCTGACAAGCTGTGATTGCTCTAACTTGCCTGCGTCTGTGCTAAGCCGCTCAGTCGTGTCCGACTCTTTATGACCCCTTGGACTCTAGACTATCAGGATCCTCTGTCCATGGGATTCTCCAGGCAAGAATGCTGGAGTGGGTTGCCGTGCCCTCCTGTAGGAATCACTTTAATTTATTGATCATTAAACAAACTGTGGGACTGCTCACCTGTAAGGAAAAATGTCTCAAGTTTCCTCTGTGAAAAGAATGGTGAACATTTCAGTTGAAAGACAAACGAGTAAACACGGTATATTCTACTTTTCAAATAATGACTGAATTGCCCAGAATTTCATTTGAAGTCACAGGTTTTTGCTTTTTTTTTTTTAACTGAGAAAAGGTTTCCTCTTTGAGGTACAGCACAAAATGTGCATAGAATGTGAGATTATTCCAGCCTAAAGAGGATGGGACCCCCAAGGAAGGGGGTTTCAGGCACCCAGAGAAGGGAGCTGCAGATGGGGGCAGATGCAGCTTAGTGCTGGCTCCTGAGCACACTGAGCCCAGCCAATGGTGACAGCTTCACATGCCTGCCATCTGGGTCCCTCTTCAGGCCACGACTCTTCTTGCCTGACAGCACCACCCAGCTTGGAGGCAGGCCTGGACTTTCCCTTTCATTTTCCTGATTCTGAGACTGGATTACTGTAATAGATCCCAACTTATCAGGTGAATCAAAAATTTACTATTCAAGGGGAGCAAAAAGGACTTGGGAAGTGAAAACCTAAATTCTGGAAAAGACAGATGTAAAATCTGTAACAGGCCATTTTGAGATTTCAAAACCTGCCTTGCCCCCGATCCCTCCATACGACACCTTTCGTCTCTAAGCCCTAAAATAAGAAACGACACACGGGGAGAACCTGGCTCCTAGTTGCCTGCACTCAAATCCTGGCTCTACCACCTTAAGTTAAAAAGTTGTTTAACCTCAGTTTCCTTCCCTGTAAAATAGATCTAATACCATTATCTACCTCATAAGCCACCTACAACACTTAGAATAGGGCCTAGACCACAGAAAACAACATTAGTTCTTATGGCCATGATTACTGTGACCACTTGATTCCTGCTTCCACTGGAGCACTGGCCTCACTGTATTATGTTCAGTGTCCTCTCATTTGACTTGGAGTTCCTTGAGAAGACGGACCTACTGATGCTCATTTTTCCCTCCCCTGTTCCTGTCACATAAAAATTTTTTTTTTACTTTAAAAATTTGTTTTAAAGGTGAAAAAAATTTAAAAAGCAAAAACTGAAGGCTAGAACTCCAAGTCTAGCCTTATTTTCTTGGCATCCTGACTCTCACCCTTTTCCTGTCCTGACATTTTAATCCAGTATTTCCTCCTGACTTGCCTTTTCTCCACGCCCGCACCCTAAGGCAGAAAAACTACCAAACTAAAACCATGAAGACTGGGCGACCTGGTGCTCCCAATGCTCATGGCCTCTCCACTCACAGTGAGGTGAGGGTGAGGCAGCAAAGTTCGAGTGCCTTTGATTCTACTGTAGATAGATACACACGACTTCGAACTGCTGTCTGACGTGAGACCTCCTTTTCACAAGGTGTGATTAGCATAATGCCAACTCTGCACATGGTTCAGAGTGACCCAAATTGGGCTGATATTCTGGAACAGGGAACAGGTTTGCTTACTGGATGCTGAAGTCACATCCTTCTGCGGAACCTCGACCTGGATACTGGGCCAGTCGCGAGGCTAAAGTCTTGAGGCGTCTCCTGCATTCCAGGAAGTCTTGGCTGTGGTAGAAATCAGTGGAGGCCGAGAGGGGCAGTCCATCCCTCACCCTTACCACGCAGGCAAAAAGGATCAAGGACATGGTCCGCGAGAGAAGTCATGAGGACACCTGAGGAGGGAAGGTCACCTTGTTACAGAGGGCCCGGCGGCGAGCCGCCAGCAGCCCGCCCTTGAAAAGTTCACTCTGGGTGGTCTCGCCCTCACCTCTACCACAAATGCACATGTGGCTCTTATTATCATCTCCCTGCCCTCTGTTGCTAGATCATTCCCAACTATGCTCCCTCCATTAGCCTCCCTGTCTCATCCTCACTTGAAATCCTCCCTTTCCTTCTCTCTAATGAATGTCTGCTGAAGCTGAAACTCCAATCCTTTGGCCACTTCATGCGAAGAGTTGACTCATTGGAAAAGACCCTGATGCTGGGAGGGGCTGGGGGCAGGAGGAGAAGGGGACGACAGAGGATGAGATGGCTGGATGGCATCACCGACTCGATGGACATGAGTCTGAGTAAACTCCGGGAGTTGGTGATGGACAGGGAGGCCTGGTGTGCTGCGATTCACGGAGTCGCAGAGTCGGACACAACTGAGCGACTGAATTGAACTGAATGAATGTCTCCATTTCCAGAGTTTAAACTGACTGGGATGAGGGAACGGAGATGTGAGGAAGCAGGCCAAAAGGGAGCCACAGCAGTGACCAGTGAGGAACAGGACACAGGTCACAAGATGGCCCCGAGGGGACAGGATGAGCCTGACACTGATGCAGAGGGCTGGGGTCCAGGGAGCTGTGCATTTCAGGCCCTCCAGGGAGGTGAGTGCTGAGCAGGTCACTTGCCATATCCTCGCCTCACGGGAAGGGATTCTGAACATTTAACCTCAAGCTGGTGGCAAGGAAGGCAGAAGGCAAAAAGAAAACAGAGAGGATAGCATGTCCTCCTGAATTTTGGCACCTTTGACACTGGGCCAGTCTTCAGAATGATGACTGAGTTCCTCCAGATGGCTAAAGTAAGTCATTTAGCAAATGATATTATGGTAAGATACTAAAATATTTAGCCATGATGATGTGAGCACCATTAAGGAACACTAGGAGACAGATTTGGAGGCCTCACGGTGCCTGTGGCAAACTGGGACAAGGTGCTTCTCAGGGTGGAAACAGCCCTGGACCAGTGCGGCAGGCAGAGCCTGGGGGGTTCCAGCCCCCAGCTGCACCTCCATGTGTGCTCGCATGGGGCATCACCCGCACACCTGCACGCGGCAGCCCTGCAACCAGGGAAGAGGGAGGTGGCTCTGGCAGCTTTACTGTATCTTTCCATGTGTCCACACATCCTGTTCACAGACCCTGTTGTCAGGTCCTCTACCTGGATAGGATGTTAGCAGGTGTGTGCACTGGTGGGCTTTTCTTCCAAAGAACACTAGGGATGTAACTTGGCACCTCAATTCCCACGAGCAGTAGGAAACGGGGCCCCAGGAGACACGCTACTCTTTTCACCTCTGTGTCTCTGTGCATTCTTCACCTGAGTTCACACTCAGATTTCCCCATATCCAAATCCCCACCAAGGACTGTCTCCAATACACCCTCCTAGAAGTAATTTTACCTCTCTAAATTCCCAGAAACTACCTCTTTGTTTTCTATGTCTACTACCTAAGGGTAAGTTCTTAGAATAAAGACCATATCTGTAATGGATGAATGGATAATTAACCCCAGTTTAAACATGAAGAAACTGCAGTAGTATAAAAATAAGAGAAGGCTGAAGGCTTCCCCAGTGGCTAAGATGGTAAAGAATATGCCTGCAATGCAGGAGCTGCTGCTGCTGCTAAGTCGCATCAGTTGTGTCCAACTCTGTGCACCAGGCTTCCCTATCCCTGGGATTCTCCAGGCAAGAACACTGGAGTGGGTTGCCATTTCCTTCTCCAATGCAGGAAAGTGAAAATGGAAAGTGAAGTCACTCAGTCATGTCCGACTCATAGTGACCCCATGGACTGCAGCCCACCAGGCTCCTCTGTCCATGGGATTTTCCAGACAAGAGTACTGGAGTGGGGTGCCATTGCCGCAATGCAGGAGACACGGGTTCAATCCCCAGGTCGGGAAAACCCCTTGGAGAAGTGAATGGCAACCCACTCCAAGAGTATTCTTGTCTGGGAAATCCCATGGACAGAGGAGTCTGGTGGGTTATAGTCCATGGGGACACAAAAGAGTCAGACATGACTTATGAACTAAACAACAACTACAAAACAAAAATTAGTCTACCAGGCAACAGACCATACATAGCCCATTTCTCTGATCTCCCCAGACTTTCCATTGAGGGGCAAAAATGTAAAAAGTCTAAGGAACTAGGAAAGGAAGAAATAAGCAAGAAATAAAATGACTCCTATCTGCAGATGATATAATTGTCTACATGGAAGATCCCCAAGAACCTACAAAAAAAAACCAAAACACAAAAAACCTCAAATGAAGGAGGAGTTCAACAAGGTTTCAGAATATAAGATCAACATACAAAAATCAATTCTTTTTCTATATACCAGCAATGGATGCATAGAAACAAAAATTTAAAATACCATTTATCATCATCCCCAAAATGATCTCAATAAAACTATACTTTTTTTAATACAATGTTAGTTGCTCAGATGTGTCCGACTGTTTGTGATCCCATGGACTGTAGCGCAGCAGGCTCCACTATCCATGGGATTTCCCAGGCAAGAATACTGCAGTGGGTTGCCATTCTCTTCTGCAGGGAATCTTCCTGACCCAGGGATCGAACCCAGGTTTCCTGCACTGCAGGCAGATTCTTTACCATCTGACCCACCAGGGAACCCCATTTTTAATGCAACACTTAGGTGTAAATCTAACAAAACATGTTGGGACATGTATGCTGAAAACTACAAAACACTGCTGAAAGAAATCAAAGAAGTCCTAAGTAAGTGAGGAGATATAGCATGTTATGAACTGGAAGACAATGTAGTAAAGATCTCCCCTCAAAGTGATATACAGGTTCAATATAATTTCTGTAAAAATATCAGCAAGATAGTTTATAGATATAAATAAGAATATTCTAAAATTTATATGGAAAGGCAAAGATGCTAAAATAGCTAAAACAATTTCGAAAAAGAATAAAAGGGACCATACCTCACTATCCTATTTCAAGACTTGTTGTATAGCTATAGTAATCAAGACTGTGTGTTATTAGCAGAGGGACAGACACACAGATTATCAGAGGCATAGACACACAGATCAGTGAAACAGAATATAGAACCCAGAAATTATACCTAAGCAAGAACAGTCAAATGATTTTTGACAATGGTACAAAAGCAATTAAATGGAGGAAGGATAGACTTTTCAACAAATGGTGTTGGAGCAATGAATATCTATAGGGAAAGAAAGAGAGAGGAAGGGAGGTATAAGCAGAAGGAAGGAAAAGAAAAAAAAGAGAATCTTGACCTACTCTCACACCTTCCATAAAAAGGAGATCAAAATAGATCATATGTTTAAGTGTAAAAAGTAAAAGTATAAAAGCAGAAGAAAACAAAGAGAAAATGTTCAGGACTTGAGGACGGGTTCTTATGTATGAGACCAACAGCACAATCCATAAAAGAAACTCCTATAAATTGGATTTCATCAAAGTTTAAAACTTTTGCACTGCCAAAATCCATGTGGAGAGGATGAAAAGAAAAGCAAGAGAGTGGGGAAAATATTTTTAAACCACATACCTCCTAAAGGACTCTAGATATTTAGAATTTTTAAAGCACTCTCAAAACTCAACAGTGATAAAACAAAAGATCCCGTTAGAAAATGGACAAAGCACATGAACAGACATTTCACCAAAGAGGATATAGAGATGACAAAAAAGAACGTGAAAAGATATCTAGCATCTCTTAATAGCTATTAAGGGAAATGCAACTTAAGATCACAATGAGATAATATTACATACTGATTAGAACAGATAAAATTTTAAGTGACAATATCAAATGCTGGCAAACAGTCACAGGAATGGGATCTCCTACACACTGCCAGGAGGACTGCAACATGGTACAGTCACTCTGGAAAATAAGTTTGGCAGGTTTTTTTTTTTTAACTAAACATGCGATTATCATACAATCTATCAGTCATACTCTGTACTATCTCGCAAACTCCTGTCAGTATAACTGCTGTTGTTGTTCAGTTGCTCAACCGTGTTAGACTCCTTGTGACTCCACGGACTGCAGTCAGGCTTCCCTGTCCTTCACTGTCTCCCAGAGTTTGCCCAAGTTCATGTCCGTTGAATCAGTCAGTATAATTACTTTAACATAAAAATGGAAAAAAGTATTAACTTAAAGTTTTTATATCACTTAAATTCAGCTCATACTTGTTTTTTATGTTTAAATGTCATTTTAAAATATCTCTACTAGTAGAACAATATTCTTTTATGCTAATTAACTGTAATTCTGATGATTTATGCATGAATATTGAAGGGCATGTTTTATAGCGAGAAGCTCTGCAACTAAATAGCATTTCCAAACTGGAAGGTACTATAATTTCTGAATTCATTAAAATAAAAGCTGCTTGCAGATAACCAGTATTCCGTTTATAAAAGGAAAGCAGTGGCATGAATCTGGAAAATCATGCCTCAGTTACAGAAAAAGTTATACAAGGACAAAGGCAGCTGAAGAGTGCTCACACAGACACACAAATCTGTCTTATTAGCTCCTTCTACAGGCCAGAGGACCCTATAACCTAGCACCATGCCTGGCACATATCAGGAAGCTCTCAATATAACTTTTAAACTAATAAAGCTTATTTAAAAACTAAGTTTTAAAACTAATTAAAAAGCTTTCCTACAATAAATCTCCACTTGGAATGGAGAAAGAGGCTTACATAAATGAAAATTTTTAAAAGACACTGAAGTAGTAATCAAATATAGCACCCTAGTTACTATTAGATTTTATAAAAATTGTATTTTAATCTGCCTCTGCCATTTCCTAAATCCTTTTCTCAGCATCTATTTATAAACTGATCATGTCATCAATTTTCCCTAATCTACTGGCAAAAGGCTGTGCTTGGCTGGAGGGCAGCCTGGTTCCCAGAGGTTTCCTTTCATCTCTGTATCCTTAAGC